TTTCTTCTCTCCGGCCTCTCCTTCTACCATTGCCCTATTCCCTACCCTTTCTTTCTCCACAACATTTATCTGTTAGATAATTAATAAATAAATAGTAGACACATGTCAAAGAAAACGATGCTAACTGTGGATTGAGCATGACTAGGTACCAGACACAAGATTCAGAGAGGAAGAAAGGAGATGAGAAGTGTGAAGGGACCAGCAGGTGCACTTCTCAGCGGTCACACGCTCATGACCTCCCTTAAACTTTGTAACCCTCATGTGCAATAAATACCTTTTAAAAGCCCCATTTTAAAGATTGTGTCCAAGGCTCGAGAAATTAAGTAATTTGGTGGGGTTCACCAGCCCCCCTCGTGTGAAGCAGGTGGATGAGTTCCGTTGAGAACCTTCCCAGAAGGCAGGAGCATTGGAGAACAGAACGTGGGAGTGTGGGGTGGGAGTGTGTCACGTGGACAGCCTGTCTGACACACCTGGGAGTTGAGCCAAGTGGTGGGAATTGTCAGTGAGTTTGCCGACCTAATTGTGTATCAGCACACAATTAGTTTTCCACCTGCCCCTTCACAAACTACTCATAAGACCATAATACAAAAGAAATGAATGTTCTCATCCTGTGTACTGACTTCCTGGTACCCTGAGTTAGATCCCTGCTTTTGCCCTCCTACATTGCACAAATTTTAGTTTTTGTATTTCCATGGCTCTGCCCATTCTTTACCAGATGGTGGTCACACAGAAAGATGCTAAATTTATGGAAGAATAAACTTAACATTTATTTCTTTAACATGGCTTGTGTAGGTAATACCCATCATTGACTAGGGGAAACTTTGCTCGCATTCCATCAAATCTACAATTTGTGAAGTATCTCCAAGCACCTTAAGGTTACCTATGTTTCCTCCGTGGTATGAATTGCATTAATTTCCTCTCCTTCACCACCTGGGCCACTTTTACAGAATAGTTACTATAAACCCTTCAAATGTGAAAAAAGAGAGAGGCTCAAGTGTATTTCTCTGTCTCTGTAGGTGATTGTCTGGGGAGACTATGGCAGAATGGACCACAAATGCTTCATGGGTGTGGCTCAGATCTTGTTGGAAGAACTCGATCTGTCCAGCATGGTGATCGGATGGTACAAATTGTTCCCACCGTCCTCGCTGGTGGATCCCACACTCACGCCGCTAACCCGCCGGGCTTCCCAATCCTCTCTGGAAAGTTCAACTGGGCCTCCCTGCATCCGATCATAGTGAACTCATACCAGAGTCATTCCAATAAAACTCTACCTTTCAGGATAATAATCTGGACCAGATATTTCATGATCAAAAGCATTGTTGGAGACAGACAATCAACTTGTGTTTTGCCTGTAGTAGTTTTTCAATAGTATGTCCCAATTCTTGTTTAAAACATGGCTTCATATGACAGAACAAGGCAATCTACCAAGTGACAGTAAGAATCAACGTGCTAGTGAGAGTCACTGATGCTTCTAACAAATAGAAAAAGAGGAAACTTTAAATTCACACACACACACACACACACTCACACACTCCAAATTGAACAGACTGGAAACTCTCACTCGGAAAAGTTGTATTCTACACGTTTCTGCACAGACCACAAACAGTGTTATTTCCCTGGTGTTTGAGAAGTTTTGTTCTTTTGTGTGTTGTGTTTTATTTGTGTTTTGTCAGTTTTCGGTTTCTTGAGTTTCTGGTTTTGTTAGTTTTCATCATGATTGTTATTTCTAGTTGGCTGGGCCATGACGGGCCTCATGTTGCTACCAGAGACCCTTCCTTTCTTTTTTCCAAAAACACCCCCCAAAAAAGGGCTGAAGCCGTCTCTGTAGCATCTCCCTAAAGTGTTCAACAGCTAGACAAGGTGAGGCCAACCAAGGGTTTCACTGGCTTTTCTTTTATAATTTCTTCAAAGTCTTATGTGTAGAAACCCAGAAGACAAAATGTTATCTTCCAAAGTAAATAATCTCAGAATTACTTTTTTAAATGAAGATGAGCTCATCTGTTTGCATTCTAGAAAATTAATTTGTGTTTTCCATTGTTTTGCATGGAAGACTCTTAAAGAAATCAACCTGCAACTAATGCTGGGGACTAAACCTACCACGTAATTGTACTTTGAGAACACTCCTTGTAATGCCTTTTTCTTCCTGATATCAAAATAATATATATATGCTTAGGTGTATAAACCATACTTCTGACTTCCCAAAATGGTGACTAGGAATGGATTTGAGCCTAAGACACTTTCAGCTATGCCCAGGCTTCTCAGCCATGCCTCAGTGTGGACACACCCATCTGCCCTGGAAAGAGCATGGTATGAGCTGTTCAATATTCCACTGGAAATTCCAGTTGAAACATTCTGCACTAAACTAATGTTTTTATCGAATTTTAGTTTACATTTCTTTGAGATTGATGCAAGCACAAAGCTTGATTTTTTAATGCAAAGTATCTTTTGGGGGGGAAATAAAACAAAGTCAAATTATAATTCGCATTTCCTTCATTTAGTTTTCTCGGCCTTGAATCTCCCTCGTGACATTCTGTACATGTGCTACCAACTGCAGACACTGCAGGTGCATCGACACGTTCTCCCTCCCCTTATGAGTCACTCAACTTTTGTGATTACACAAATAGAGCAGCATGACTTGGAACTGTTCGAAGCTGCATGCACGTTTTGTAAAAAAAAAAAAAAAATTGAAAAGAAACAAAAGGTTATTTACTAATATATGTTAGTTCCACATAGGCCAGCTTGTATGTTGCATGTTCCTGTACAGTTTGCTTGTTAATTACTATACTGAGATAACCAAGAAATCTAAGCCATCCATTTTTGTTATAGACATTTTGCAGATTTTAGCCAGACTCAGCCTGTGGGTCTGGGGTGAAATGTCTATAGATGGACTTTATTTTTTACCCTCCGGAAAACGTGATGTAGTACGGACCAAATTCCTTCTAATACATATTTTGGTGTAGATTCCTACCGTGGGGCTGTAACACATGTAGACACTGTGTACACACTAGGTTTTAATCCATAGACATACTGCCTGCACCAAGTGAATTATTTACTATTATTTACACATGCCAGAATTATCTGCCCATCATTCCGCAGGGCACAGACTGACCACTGCTCACGTGCTGGGCAGGAAGGACTGAAGCATTGGTGCACTTCCACTAGATTCCGTTCTGTCTTAGTGGCCAACAATCAACTGACTATAATTGGGTAGTACCTTTCTATTTTGACCACTTGTCTTAACACTCCCCTGTGCTTTTAAACGAAATTCCAACTCATGTATGTAAACACGTTTAATAAAATTTACTTTTCATGTCCGTCAGTAGCCATCTGTGTTCTGTGTTTTGCCAGATTTCCATTGTGGGTTCTATGGTGCAAAATGGGAGCCAGACCATGGGAAGGGGAGGCCGGGATTCGTTGTCTGCTGAAGACATTAGACTTGACTTGTCACTGCACTACTTATGTCTTAATCTATGGCCCAAAGGGTACTTTGCATCACATCCAAGTTTTCTCTTTGTCAGCCTGTCTAAGTGAGCACATGACTATATTTCCGAAAAGTGGCATTATTAAAAACAATAAATCTCAGTAAGAATCAATGGAAGGTTGTTTTTCTGCTGCTGTTTGAATGTTCTAATAAAAGAGACAACTCTGTTGTCCAGTTGCCAAACCATTTCAAGTTATGTGACATATCAAAATATTGATTCCTGCGTCTCTCGTCACAGTCTCTGTTTGCTCTTTCCTCTTTCCCCCCGAACCCTTGACTAATCTGTAGAACCTTGCTTTAGAGGAAACCAACTTAACGGGAAAAAAAAAAAAAAGTAATGGATGTATTCTAAATTATCTTCAACCAAATCTTAGGCAATAAACATATCTTCAAATATAGATAAGTCTCCTCTACAAATAATAGAAATTGTTAGCTTGTAAAGGACTTTTTCTTATCTAGAAATGTCCATATTTTTCATAATCACTGCCTCTCACAAAACATGTGATAAGCACCAACTTTATCTTATATTATAGTAAAATAACTATTGAGATCTAGTCTCAACTTTCTAAGAGCTTGTAACTTTATGATAGACTACATTAGCTGCAACTTCGTGAAGCAAAATGAACACAGCTAAATCGACATCAAATTTGCAACAATAAAGGAGTTTGAGCCATGACACCATCAGTTGTTGATAACTTCTAAAACGGTTGACTAATAGTACCTGGTAAATTGTCCGGTTCTTTGGTCTACAAGACATGAGATTATCTGTTAGGCTGGGACAACAGGGGGGTGGAAACAACTGATCACTTAACTTTAATTCAAACTGTCAGAGTCAATTGTCTAATACACGTGCATTCGTGACTGCGTGAGGGCAGAGGGCCAGTCTGCCACTAAAATGAGAGGTAACAGGAGATAGCTTGACAATTCTTTGTTTAGACAGAAGCAGAAAGGCAATAATCTCTCTTCAGACCAGATAAAGCTACCCGGTGTTAGCATTTCATGGCCTTGCCATGATGGAGGGTAAGTAACCTTTAAAAAAAGCAGTTTCACTAAGTGTTCTTGGTTTCTTGCTGATTCTGAGAACTTGTTCTTGAAATCCCAGCTTGAGATAGATGATTTGATATTACTAAGAGCTTTGTTAAGTACTATTAAGTACATAGAATATAAAAATGAATAAAAGACCCTATCTTAAAGGAGCCCCCGTCTATTAAAAAAGATCATAGTCTATAAAGAAATAATTATAACAAATAATTATGATAACATGCACAGTAAGTCCACGCTTGATGTCAGTAGGGTCTAGGAAAGTATAACTGAACAAAATGGCATATATGGAAACTAATTTTTTCCTCATAAACTTTATAACAAAGTTTCATGAAAAGGCATTATTTGAGGGCTACCATGTTTATTTCACCTAAAGTCCTAGTTTCTAAGAGCCTATCTTTATCAGAGTTAGGTGAAGACTTAGTATATTTGATTTGTATGCAAAGGGCTATGGGATGACATTTAATTCTCTCAATAGTCCCAGGAGGTGTTTTTATGACCCCTACTTCACACAGAAGGGTCTGCAGCTTAGAGCAGCTAAGTAACAACCTACAGATCACACAGCTGGTTGGTGACCCTACAGGGATAGAAACCAAGGTCTGCCAAATCAGAAGCCTGGGGTGGCGCCTGTGGCTCAAAGGAGTAGGGTGCTGGTCCCATATGCTGGAGGTGGTGGGTTCAAACCCAGCTCCGGCCAAAAACTGCAAAAAAAAAAATCAGAAGCCTGCCCGGCAAACCACGATTGATCCAAGGACTTGGATCAACATTTAACCAGGCAACTGGTATTTTCACCTTTTCTAGACAAGTTCTGTTCTTTAGGAGTACACTTTCTTGGGCACAGACAGGTTACTATAAATCCATTGTATGACCTCCACATGGGGCATGACCAAGGTGCACTCGATGCCCACACAAAACCAAAAATAGTCTCACTTCTTTTTAAGCTAACACTATCTTGGTTACCTCCCAAGACATATGGAACAGGCTAAAATCTTGTGTTAGGATGCTTTCAGATTGAATGACTGATATATAACTGAAAATGTATAAACCAGAAAATGCAGATGATGGACTCATATTAGTGAACACTCTAGTTAACTCTGGTTTCTGGAGTAATCTATCAAAGATAGCAAAAGGATCTGTCACTCCTCAGGTCCTAGTTGTTATGTTTTCTTTGTCATCTTCATATAAAATAGGACAGCAAATGAGAGAGAAGGATGGACCCCACTTCAGATGTAATTAATTAATAGAAATTTATTAGGAATTTAATACACCTGCAGGTGCACCTACCATAGAGGCATGCAGCCTCGAATAGTGGGGGAGAAGCCTTTTTGTACTGTTATTCTGCATAATCAGCAAGCTAGCACAATACAGAAGCCAATCACAGCAGTTAGCACAATTCAATACAGCTCAGGGGTCACAAGGTTAGGGTACATCATAAGGGCTTACTTAATTCAGGGTGAGGGTACAAAACACATCACAAGTACATTACTTCATGATCATAAGATGAGGGTCACACAGTTCAGGGGTACAAACAAGTGTTGAGTAAATTTCTGAGAACAACTTGGGACCTTTTCACCAGGGGTTTATTTGGAATCCACCCCTCCCTTCGCTCAACCCCTCCCTGCATACTTCCTTAATTTCAGGCTGTTTCTTTTCCCTTGAGGGGACTGGGACTAGAAGGCTTAGGAGAGGTTTCCTTTTCAAGGGTGGGGGGCT